ATGTCAAACCTCCCTTGTATACCTAGAATAAATTCCATTTGCTCATGGTATATAACTCTTTTTTAAAATTTTTTCTATTGATTTCAGAGAGGAAAGGAGAGGGAGGGAGAGATAGAAACATCAATGATAAGACAGAATCATTGATTGGCTGCCTCCTGCATGCCCCACACTGGGGGTTGAGCCTGCAACCTGGGCTTATGCCCTGACTAAGACTCAAACCATGATCTCCAGGTCATAGGTCGATGCTCTGCCACTGAGCCATGCCAGCCGGACTGTGGTGTATAATTCTTATACATTGTTGGATTTGATTTACTATAATTTTGTTGAAGGACTTACATGTGAGATATTGATCTATAATTTTCCTTTCTAGTCATGTCTTTGTCTGGCTTTGGTATTGGGTGTTGCTGGTCCTCATCGAATGAGTTAGGAAGTTCTTTTATGTTTTGGATAAGATTTTTAAAGAACTAGCTTTATTACTTAAATATTTTCTAAAATTCACCAGTGACACTTTCTGGACCTGTGCTTTCTGTTTATTAATAATCTGGAAGATTATTAATTATTGTTCTAAAAATATATTCATTATCTGTTTCTCCTACAGTGAATTTTGGTAGATTGTCTTTCAATTAATTGGTCCATTAATCTAAGTTACCAAATTGGTGGGCATAGAGTATTCGTTTAATGTCCATGGAATCAGTTATGATGGCTCCCTTTCATTTCTCATATTAATAATTTATATCTTCTCTCTTTTTTCTTGATTAGCCTGGCTAGAGTTTTAACAATTTTATTGACCCTTTAAAAAAAACCAGCTCTTGGTTTTATGTATTTTATTATTTTCTCCATTGAATTTACTCTTTTGGGGGTTCACTAACATTTTGAATATGTAGATTTATTTCTTTTGCCTAATTTGGGAAATTGTAACCATTATTTTAACGAGTACTTTTTTATTCCTGCCCTCTTTCTTCTTTCCTTCTGATACTTAATAACAAATGTTAGATCTTTTGGTGTAGTTCCACAGATCCTCAAGGGTCTGTTCATTTTTTACAGTTTATTTTCTCTCTGGTGTTTAGATTAGACAGTTTTTATTCTATCTTTTAGCTTAAAGATTCTTTTCCCTATTTTCTACATCCTGCTCTTGATTTCATTTACTGGTTTTTTTTGCGTGTTATTTTCTGTTTTACCATTTCTATTTGATTCTTTATATCTTCAATTTTTTTTTTTACTAATACTTTCTGTTTCTTTGTCAAGATGTTCTATTTCTTTTTTTCAGTTTTTTCAAACATGTCCTTAATTGCTAATGAAGGAAGCATTTTAATGATGGCTGCTCCCAGGTCTTTGTCAGATAATTTTGGCATTCTGTCATCTCAGTATTGTCATCTATTGATTATCCTTTTTCATTTACTTTGACA